ATTGTTGTTGTGGTGCTCTGTATCCCTATAGAGCTCGCTAGCTTTTAGTCCTAAAAAACAGAAATGAGTTAGCCATGGCTCGTTGGTCAAAGCCTATGGGGAAATTAATGGGGTTTTTGGAGAGTTTTTGGATAAACAACGAAATAAGGTCTGAGGAAAAACACAGGCTTAGGAGATCTTATACGTTTTGTTCAGTCAGTTAACATGACCTTTATGAATTATGAAGCCTTTATGTGCTTGTTTTGATTACATAAATGCTTCAAAATTCTTAAAGTTATGTGAGCTGATGAAAATGATCTAACAGAACTAAACGTATAGTGTGCAAAGCTGTCATCAAGGCAAAGGGTAGCTACTTTGAAGAATCTCAAATATAAAATATATTTTGATTTGTTTAACACTTCTTTGGTTACTACATGATTCCATATGTTTTATTTAATAGTTTTGGTGTCTTCACTATTATTCTACAATGTAAAAAATAAAAAAAATAAAAGAAAACCCTGGAATGAGTAGGTGTGTCTAAAATGTTGACTGGTACTGTATATTTTTTTTAATAGAGGAGGGGAGAGTTAGCATCACTTCCTGTGGTGTGAGTTACAGGAAGGAGCAGCTCAGTGTAGAGTGAGACCTCCTGAGGTGAACATCACTGGGCCTCTTATAGTCTGGACAGAAAGATAGCAATCCATTTTAAAAACGATTATTTAGAATTGATTCCCAATATTTTACCACCTTTTGAAATTAAAGATGACATAGCCCTGGGTGAATATCTGTAACTTTGTGTAAATAAGATTTAGGACGCAAACTGCAACAAAACTGGGGCCCTTTTGACCAAACTCATTATACTTGTAATGTATTGTACTGTATCTTGAAGGGGAAATAAACAATAAAATAAATTTTTTTTTTTACATATTGTTTGTATAAAATTATTTTATTTTATTTTATGTTGTGTATATAATGGTGACACTGATAGGCCAAGTTCATTTCCACTGTGGTAAACGCGCTTTCTCTGCTGAAGACAAGCAACCTGAACCGCAGGAAGACAGACAGACAGACAGACAGACAGACAGACAGACAGACAGACAGACAGACAGACAGACAGACAGACAGACAGACAGACAGACAGACAGACAGGCCGACAGACAGACAGACAGACAGACAGACAGACAGACAGACAGACAGACAGACAGACAGACAGACAGACAGACAGACAGACAGACAGACAGACAGACAGAAAGTCAAAAACGATGATACTTCAAAACATTATCTGTTGTTGTTATCATAATTTGTATGGTTGAATTTATTTGAACGCATGATGTACAAAGGTATGGTGGACACCTGGGGTTTGGGACACCTGTACACCGCCATCTGCTGTTTAGTAAAATAACCATACATTTAGTGGGCTATGTTCAAAAAGCTAATAAAATGTGTTTTATTCCACATCTTGAACACTTTGGTGCACTTGTAGGCCTACTTCAATCATAGTGCATCCATGATGTGTTTGCATGCATAGGGAATGCATCCATCAACAATAGGCCTACTGCTCTAATGTTGAACGTGCTGAGGCAGGTGTCAATGCTCTCAGCAGACTCATCTGATGCATTCGCATAGATAATTATGTTACTAATTGTGCTCCTAAGGCCTGTGATAAGCCGTGTGGTGACTTTGGTCAACATGCACTTTTACGATTTCTGTATTTTTTCTGGACACAGGGATTCTGATAACCAATAACCAATTATTTTGATCTTATTTGACCTCCAACACTTTCTGCCCATAGTTTCATATTGTCACTTATCAAAGCTTAGTTTACACTTACCTGACAAAACCGTTATCTACTTATAACATCAATCAAACAAGGTCTCCAACAGAAATGGCACCCTATTCCTTATACAGTGCCTTCAGAAAGTATTCACACCCCAAAGTGGGATTCAAATGGTTTTAATTGTCATTGTTTGTCAACGATCTACACAAAATACTGTGTAATGCCTGAGTGGTTTCCTTCCTCTCCGGCAACTGAGTTAGGAATGACGCCTGTATCTTTGTAGTGATTGGGTGTATTGATACACCGTCCAAAGTATAATTAATAACTTCCCCATTCTCAAAGGGGTATTCAATGTCTGCTTTTGTTACCCAACTACCAATAGGTGCCCTTCTATGCGAGACATTGGAAAACCTCCCTGGTCTTTGTGGTTGAATCTGAGTTTGAAATTCACTGCTCGACTGAGGGACCTTTCAGATAATTGTATGTGTGGGGTACAGAGATGAGGTAGTCATTCAAAAATCATGTTAAACACTATTATTATGTGACTTGTTAAGAAAAGTTTTACTTCTGAACTAATTTTGGCTTGCCATAACAAAGGGATTGAATACTTATTGACTCAAGAAATTTCAGCTTTTCATTTTTAATTAATTTGTAAAAATTCCACTTTGACATTATGGAGTAGGCCAGTGACAAAAAAATCTCAATTTAATACATTGTATTCAGGCTGTAACACAACAAAATGTGGAAAAAGTCAAGGGGTATGCACTACGTTTGACCATGCAGGACCATTGTTGACCAGAGCCAGGGCCCTTGCCAAAAGTAGTACACTATGTAAGGAATACAAGGTGCCCTTTCGGATGAAACCAAGGTCCCCACCCCCACACTTCTTCAAACTCTCTGTCTCTCTGAACCACACTCATACCACATTTATGCAGACCACAACCTGTTGTTGTCACGATATTCATCTTGCAGAGGTAATAGTATGTTATAAATGGCATAACATATAAATGACATAACATTAAAAGCTTTCAATAACTTGAGAAAGTATTGGGAGTATACAAATGTGAAGGAGTATCTTTTTAGGTGTAAGCTCTTTCTGAGAATTGTTATGGTTTGTTACAAAAGCAGTTTGATTTGCATGCAAATAATGATGTTGCTAATTGTGTTGCTAAGGCCTTTGACAAGCCTTGTGGTGTCTTTGTTCAACATGTACTCGATTTCACTATTTCTGCTGGACAGAGGGATTCTGAGGAGGTTGATAACCAACCCTCAGGTCCAACACTTTCAGCCCATAGTTTTCATATTGTTACTTTTCAGGGAGGCAGGAGGGTGGGCCGTGCACTCATCAAGGCTTAGTTTACCTTTAGCTGACAAAACTGTTATCTACCTACAGCATCAACCAAATTACAAGTGTACTTCTGAAATTGCACCCTATGGGCCCTGGTCAAAAAAAGTGCCTCTGGTCAAAGGTATGTGCACTATATAGGGAATACGGTGCCATTTTGGATGCAACCAAGGTCTCAGCCCCCACCTTCACCAAACCCTCTTTCATACCACATGCTTATATGCAGACCACAACCTGTTGTTGTCACGATATCTGACAAAGGAAACAAAATACTTTATATCACATTTGATGCCTGACATCAATCAGAATGCTTTCAATAACTTGAGAAAGTATTGAGGATATAAAAATTATATACATACAATATCTTTGTGTGAGCCCTATAGAGATGTAGTGAAAGTAGGTATGAGGAAGTACAGCGCAAGCTTCCCCCTGCTGGTCAGGGCCTATATTGGTAATTTTTAGATAATCAGAATGAGACAATATGTAAATGTCAAAGCACTTTTCAGTGTATATATTAAACAGTCTAATACATATATTTTTTAAGTGCACCAATAGTATTCTTTCTGTCTGATGTAAAATTATTTGCCACAATGTCCAAGTTTCTTGAATTAAATTGCTGGAGAAAGCAGTTGTAATACCAATGAAAAATGTTAATGATAATGTAAATGCTACTAATACCTTTATGAGCAGTGGTGTAAAGTACTTAAGTAAAAATACTTGAAAGTACTACTTAAGTAGTTTTTTGTGGTATCTGTACTTTACTTTACTATTTATATTTTTGACTACTTTTACTTTTACTTCACTACATTCCTAAAGAAAATAATTTACTTTTTACTCTATACATTTTCCCTGACACCCAAAAGTACTAGTTACATTTTGACAGGAAAATGGTCCAATTCACGCACTTATCAAGAGAACATCCCTGGTCGTCCCTACTGCCTCTGATCTGGCGGACTCACTAACCACAAATGCTTCGTTTGTAAATTATGTCTGAGTGTTGGAGTGTGCCCCTGGCTATCCGTAAATGTTAAAATGATGCCATCTGGTTTGCTTAATATAAAGAATTTTAAATGATTTATACGTTTACTTTTACTTTTGATACTTAAGTATATTTTAGCAATTACATTTACTTTTGATACTTAAGTATATCTCAAACCAAATACTTTTTTACTTTTACTTAAGTAGTGTTTTACTGGGTGACTCACTTTTACTTGAGTCATTTTCTATTAAGGAATCTTTACTTTTACTCAAGTATGACAATTGGGTACTGTTTCCATCGCTGTTTATGAGTGTGTAAATTGGAGCTTGCCAATAATAATCATGCCATATTACCATAAATATTCAAATTCAAGATCTAAATTGAGGGCATGCATATTTGCATATGTTCCATAGGGTGTGCTTATCTCTCGATAGCTTTTTGAAGACAACAGAAACTGTTCTCATGTAGCATCAGAGGGGAGGGTACGGCTGTCCTGTTCTATGTGTTTACTGACGTCACAGCAGCCAATCAGGCCTGTGCACCCACACTCCAGTTGTGTATAAAAAGACACCCATAACCTCCTGACTCTCACTCCCATCTGACACAAAGGACGACTAGTCTACGCATGAGGAGATGCTGTCATCAGAGGTGGAATTATACAATGACGCAACTATGTTTAAAACATTTTGTAGGTTTAAGGAATCCATATGTATGAAAACGAACTGCATTCGAAAATGCTGACAGAATAGAGGGGTGAGAAGAGACTAAATAACGTCAAGATATTCAAGTAATGTCAGTCCTTGTTTTTATCCTTTTTAAAGGGTGGTCTACTACCATCAGACAGTCTAATCTCTGGATACACAGTTGATTTGGAATGTTTCATCTCAGAAACCGAAGGAAGTTACTAAAACTGGTTCAAGATGACAGTGAAACAAGCTTCAGTCTGCATACTATCGCTTTACATTCACTCCAACAATCCAACATTCTATGGGGAGTTTAACAACAGCACCCGGTTTGTAGCAAGGAAGAGTGGAGCTAGTTTTGTGCTGACTATTGAAGATGCCAGACCATCAGATATGGGGATGTATTACTGTGCCACACGAGATTATGATGCCATGATCTTCGGAAAGGGTGTGTATTATCATGTGACTATCAAGCTCTTTAAGTGGTTATATTAAAACAAACAAAATTATGAGAACCTTGGTTTTACTGTGTTATAAAAGGTGCAGATTCCAGGAACCAGCATCTTACTCAGCAGCCTGTATCTGAGTCGGTCCAGACAGGAGACTCTGTGACTCTGAACTGTACAATACACACTGAGACCTGTGTAGGAGAACACAGTGTCTATTGGTTCAGACATGGCTCAGGAGAATCCCATCCAGAATCATTTACACCCATGAAAATAGGAGTGATCAACATGTCTACAACCTCCCCAAGATCAACCTCAGCCTCCTTGTGCTGGGACTTACCACTGTGCTGTGGCCTCGTGGGGAGATACTGGGAACGGGACCAAGCTGGACGTTGAAGGTATTTTGTTTTGAACCTCTAAATTTAGATTTTATTCTGTTATAATTCATCAATGATCTGTCATATTTCAAGACCAATCAAACTCTAAAATAAATTTGCTGATGCAACTCTGAACTGTAAAAGGGTCGAAGATGAAGCTTACAAAATGTAACATGTATACCTGTGTTTCTAAGAAGGAATATCAACAACTTCCTTTAAACCACAAGCTCCTGGCTTTAATTGTGTCCAACATCTTGAGTTTGATCGCCATCGTTGTCCTCCTCATCTGTATGAGAAGGAAGAAAGGTTCTGTATCATTTCAGGGTAATGATTGGTGTTTCTACTTAAATGGCTCCTGCCATTTTGTGTGGTCATTCACATGTGACTAGGGGCGTCATGCACCCCAAAAAATCAGAGGGGGCACAAAGTATGTGAGAATGTCTGCGTGGTGGTCGGTAGAGGAGCTAGGCCCCGGTCCGTAAATTTGAGAATTTTTCAAACACCTTAAACAGTTATTTCCTGCAATCTAGAGCCAGAATCATTATGCTTAATTCTATGTAAAAAAAAAAATATATATATATATGTATATTTTTCTGCATATCTAAGCATACCACTTGAGCTGTCTGTATCCTCCTGACAGGTGGTATTTTTTTTCAATAAACGAAATATGCTTCTCTGCATCTCTGTTAAAATCTGGGTAAAAGATTGAAAATAATGTGAGTCTTATTCAGTACAATTAGTTATTGCTTGCTTTTCTAAAGTCTACCAACATTGCCAGCAGCCACGCGAGCTAAGATCGTTAGACAAGCTAGCTACTCTAACTTGATTGATAGCCTGAAATGGCTTCTTGGTAGCTAGTTATGAGGTTGGGAGATTGGGAATCTGGGCTAGCCAGGACCGAGTTTGGGAAACCCTGCTCTGTGGTGATGTCTTGACTTCATTGATCTGTATGTACACCACCTATCCAGCAGGGGGCAGTAAGCTTCCACAAAGGGAACAGACCACAGGCACACAAAGGATCTCATCATTTAGTCATTTAGCAGACGCTCTTATCCAGAGCGATTTACAGTAGTGAGTGCATACATTTTCATACTTTTTCATCACCAGTCATATGATGATGGCTATATGTTGGTTTATAGAAAAGGATAGATTATCTGTAACCACATTATCTGTAGTTTAGCCTGGTTAGCCTTCCAACATTATATGTACAGTACCCTCGTTTGGAAAGGACACTATCAAACCAGAGTGAAGAAACAAGATTATGGTTTCAATTATTTTATTATGAGGACATGACACATTCAGGGGAAAAAGTTTATTAGGACTCTACACTTTTAAAACCAAGTATTCAAGTAGTACAGCTGTACAAACCACTACAACTATTTACAGTATAGGCTTCAGTACACATTAATGAATTATACTCTTATAACTCACCAGGGGGCAGATTTCTTACAAACATTGAACCCAGATCAAAATGAACCTGATGATCTAAAAAGACTCTGGGATTCAAAAACTAAAACCCAGACATATTTTTTGGTTTACAGCTGAGGGATGGGGCAGGAGAAATGTAACCGCTCAAATTCAGATGGACCTACAGATGAAAAGACTGACGCTCCATGAGGGTTTTAACCAATGATGTATATAAACCCTGGATTGCTGATGCTATGCATTGGCCATTGAGAGGCCTTGACACACCCTGGTCGGCCATATTGGCACTCCTCAGTAGGAGCAGTCCTCCATAGAAATTAATGGAATTCTACAATATTTCAATTAAATGTTTCAAGGACAGAAATCACATGTATTTAAGTATTTGCTGTTGTAGTGGGGCCAGTAACATTAGTAAAAAAAAAATATATCCACCCAAAACTATGTTTTGATATTTGTTTCATTAGTCCATTGTTGACATAGTCCCAAAATGTTTTGCTTGTCTCTGAATGATGCATTTTGCATTATATGATGCAAAACTCAGCATCAAATGATGCAAAATGCATCATACAGGGATGATTTATATATTTTGAAAGTTACATATCTTGAAAACTTGATTGCTGACAAGCAAAACATTTTGGGACTATGTCAGCAATGGACTAATGAAACAAATACCAACAGATAGTTTTTGGTTGGCGTTTTCCTTTAAGGAAAATGTTTGTATACATTTTATGTTTAGCTCACATAATATAATTTAAAAGTACACATTAAGGAGTCTGTAATAGAATAAAGACATCAATAAATGTATGGCTTCCAAAATCATTTTTACAATGGAGGAGTACCAAGATGGCTGTGCGGTGGCTTTAATAAAGCGCCCCTTTAGTCATCCAGGGTTTATACACAACATTGGTTTTAACCAAGTTTTGAAGCTATAGACAACAGTGGTGGTTTCCAATTACATTGTCTACAAACAATCAAGTAAAACAAGCTTATATTTTGGGTTCTGATGGGGTAAGACAGTTGAACTATGCTAATGAAACATTTATAAGTTATAATCTTTAAGAATCAATGGCTATATATTGTTGATTTTAAAGTCCCAAAATGATGTACGAATCCCAGATTGCCCCTGTAATAAAAACACTTTAGACATTTGGTTGACATGTTGCTTGTTAGTTTGGAAATGAATTATATAAAACGGTATTACCTGTCCATGCCCAGCCTAAACTAAGGACACACATCAAGAGATATTTTCCTATACTGTGTAGCTACCTAAATTGATCACATCTTTATCCTGGAGTTTCATACAACCCACAACTGATCCTGATTCCTGTCTTACATGGTTAGGTTCCTGCAGGCTGTGCCAAGAATATCTCTCCAGAGATGCTTTCAGAGTAAGGGTGCTCAGAACACCATCATCATTCCAAGTGTAATATGCTGAGAACTAGGGACATAATATTAAAGCCCTATCAATCCAACCCATGACACCAAAATAAATTGATGGGCAGTGAAGGGGGTTATGAAGGGGCAGATTGGTATAGTTCAATTGCAATTGAGTGCTTGAAGTCGAGGGTTACTTAAGAGATGATCACGTGATTTTACATCGCTAGAGTAGAGGACGATTCTTCATTTTTCATTATCAGGCATATATCCTCTTCACATAATCAAGATGCAATAGTTAAAATGTATTGAGAAGCAACTGATCCTCCGCCATTGAATCACTGAAAGAGTGATATAAGAATATGCGATATATTATGATTTAACGAGAATAGATCAAAAAGTTCTAAATTACTATGTTTTATTTTATTTTATTAAAATCATGTCCTTTGTGATGACAAATAAGAACGCTATCTGACTTGGTGGTAACTAGCTACTATCAGCAAATATTTGTCCAAATAACAACTTAACCAACTAGATCATCGTGTTGTCCGTCATGGTGGTTTTACTACACTGTTGCACATTGTCATTGATACAACTGAGAGAGAGAAAAACAGATTATGAAGTACCTGAGAGTGGTGCCATGGGTGGCATGACAAACGTGACCGGTGGAGCTTTTCTCTTTCTTTTCCGTGCTGCAGTTTGAGAAAAATTAGTGTTAGACAGAGCATGTTGCATGAAAACCCTTTTCAACTTTTTTACATCAATACCTCTGGAGGAAGCTGCAGAGGTTTTGGAGGAGGTGGATATGACTTGAGGGCTGGTGCTATGGACTGTAGATATGTAAAGAGAGATTTTTTTTTTTACATTGCTGTTTTATAAAACAGATTACAAACAGTCATTTTTTCGTAATTTAACATGTGTTTACCTGTGGAGGTGGCGGTATTCAAATTGCAGGGGGCAGGGACACCAGACGAGGCTGCTATGGTGGTGTGACTAGGGGAGACGGAGGAGGCAGTTGGTCCAGAGGAGGCCGTGTTGGTGGTGACAGACATGGAGGGTGGTGTGCATTGTGGTGGTGGTGGACAAAACCGCCGACGATGGCTTGGAGGAGCTGGTGTTTGTAATGGTGGGGTTGAGGGGCCGACGATGGTGTGGCCGGGAGAGTAGGCACGTGGCCTTCTTCTGCAGCTGGGGACTCCGGCGGCTCCTACAGGTGTTTCACACTGGGAGGCACTGGCAGTGGTGATGCAGCTGTCCGGAGTGGTTCCAGCAGGGGGTCCAGCAGAGGCGATGGCGTCAATGGTCGCTGGTACGGGTAGCGGAATACTCTGGCAAATTCTGATTTGTTTACCATGTAGGAGTGGTCAAAATGGCTAAGGTCTCCAGCTACCTTAGAGAACTCAGCCTTTAAAGGGCCAAAGTATGCCACATCCAGCGGCTGCAGGACATGGGTGCAGTGTGGTGGAAGAAAAATAAGTATAACCCCTTCCCTTAGTGCCGCCGCGAGCACCTCCGGGTCCATGTGGCTCTTGTGCCCATCGAAGAGGAGAAGGAGGGGGCGCTCTTTCACTGCATGCTTAATGAAGTGCTGAAACCACTTCCTGAACAGGTCCCCATCAATGTAGCCACTGCTTGACCGTCCATACAAGGCTTGGGTTGGCCTCCCAGTGTGTAGTGGCCACCGGGGAAACTCTTGGGGTAGATGATAAACGGGGGGGACGTCCTCCCCAGCTGCGTTAAAGCAGGCCAGCACTGTGATGTGCTCCTTGGTCCCCGGAGCCTGCTGGTACACGTGTTTTGCGCCCCAGGGAGCCAGCACTTTGTGCCTGCTCTGGTCACTACGAAACCCAGACTCATCGCAGTTATAGATTTGTCTGGGTTTCTCCCTCAACCCACTCTCCTCCAAGTGGTTTTCATAAGAAGTGAAGAAGGTGTCCATCGTCGGATGTGTGGCACACTCAGCTCTCCCCATGTCCAGGGTGTCCGGCCTCCTCAAGCTCAGGTTCTTGCGCCTCCTCCTGAACATTTCCCACCACCTCTTCCCCCATGGTGGGATTGTTTCCCCTGGGTGCCGAAACCTACAATAGAATAGAATATATAATTGTCCATCCAGGATGAAAATGTTTGTTTTGGCATTACCACATTTACATCACACACATTAAGAACAGTCAGTCCACCAACCTACATACATAAACACCTGCTTTTCATCCTCTGACCAGA